TTGATCTGCAACAACGATACAATACTTGAGTTCTTGGAAAGGGAAGTAATGGAGTCTTGAACTTGATGGTGGTTTTATCAGAGAAGATCCATAAAACCATCTTAGTTGTGTTATTTTCTCACTAATCTTAGCCATATCCACAGTGAAAGTGGCTGCAAATATTTATTGGGGAGAAAACTATCACTATTAAAGTAAAAACGCAGTCATTCAACTAAGAATTTGAGAAAAATACTCCTACAAAATAAGAGATTATTTGTATTATTCACTTAAGGTAGCATCACATTCGAACAGATACATTGGTTGAATGATGAATTTGTCAAAATAATTTGTTTTAGCTTCTGGATTAGGGTTCAACACAACAAAATCAATACCTAATCTGCACGTTTTTGTTGTGATAAAGATTAACAAAGGAAGCAAATGCAAACACTGCTAACATAACTTCATTTATCATGAAAAAGCAAACCCGCTGATACGTGACTGGGAGGTTGATGATGAATGACAGCGAGAAGAACGAGAAGAGAAGAATGTGTATTAGGGTTCATTTAATTGTTAAGCTAAAAGTTCCAAAAAGTCATACGTTATTTTTCAAAAAATTAATTTTAGAAGATCTTTTATATTTATCAAACATTTTTTTTTTAGAACGGTAGGCATATATTAATAAAAAAAACTAGACAGGAGATAGGAGGTGCAAATTGTCCCGAAGAAAACAACGCTACATCAAAAGAGAGACAATTGGAAATAAACAGAAAAGGACAATGAGAATGAAAATGGAAGCCGGAAAAGAAACTAAAAAAAGCTAACTACATCCTGCCGTAGCACTCCAAGATTGGGTCACAACGCCACTCGAGCCATCTAAGCTTCCTTCCCTTCCGATTCCTTGCATTGATCCATAGGTGCGAAAATGTTTGTACCTCGAATGCCAAAGCCGATTTTGAGCAGGAGTTTGAGTTCAAACAATGGGCCTTGTTGTTTATGTATCTCCAAATTACCCATAAGAAAACCAACATTATAGCCTCATGAATCATTTCCAGCCTATTATGTCCCCCTAGTGAGTCTTTACAATTTAACAACTCACTACAATTATTTGGTGAAATTCCCAATAACCGCCACCAACTGCACACCTGCACCCATGCTTCCTTTGATATCGGACATCCCACGAAGATGTGATCTACCGATTCTGAGGCTTCATGACACATTTGACATAAGTCTGAAGAGCTGATACCAAGCTTACTTAAGTTCTCCATGCATGGAAGTCTACCGTGGCAGACTCTCTAGGCTAATATGTTTACCTTACCCGTCACAAGCGGGTTCCATTTCCAACCAGCATTACTATGAGGCAGGGACTGATTATCAATGTGATTCCGCAGTGAGGAGACAGTATAAACACCCGAAGGGTCGAGTGACCAAGACCATTTGTATGAACCGTCAATATTTAATGAATTTTGGAAGAAAGATAAGAAAGGCACCTAACCTTTGTCTAAAAATGCTGGCAGGCATGCTATCGAGCCCCAACAACTGCTTCTTCTTCTTACAGCCTTTGGACGGGGCACACCACCGTCGGAACCATGAATGGCTTGAATTACCAAGGCCCATATGTTGTCTGGTTGGATTCTGAATCGCGACCACCATTTACCCATGACAGCAAGATTCTGCGCTTTCAAACTGCCAACCCCGAGTCCCCCTCTTTCTTTGGAAGCGAGAATTTTATCCCAAGCAACCCAGGCCATTTTTCTTGCTTCCAAGCTCCCACCCATGAAAAATTTCATCCGAATTCATTCCAGACTTTTAAGTACCTTTGCAAGGGCCTTATATAATGAGAAATAAAATGAGTCAAGGCTACTTAGAACAGATTTGCATAGGGTCAATCTACCCCCAAACGACAAGGTAGAGGCTTTCCATCTAGAAAGTTTCGCTTGGAATTTCTCGGTGATGGGCTTCCAATGAGTTTCACGGACCATCGAAACACCTACTGGGAGACCTAAGTAGGTCAACGGGAGTGAACCAATCGAGCAATTAAAGCTACGGGCCACCAATTCTAATTCACAGGTTTGGACACCGAGCCCGAATATTTTTCTCTTTAACATATTAACCTTGAGCCCCGATGACAGCTCATAACACCGTAATATTCTGATCAGATTTTTCGTGTTTTCCAATGACCATGATCCCAAAAATATCACATCGTCAGCATACTGTAGGTGCGAGATTGTTGGACCACAGTGGGGGAGCTGAACACCACTAAAAACACCTTTTTCTTTTGCCGATTCTAGAGCTATATTGAGTCCTTCAGCAGCTATGATAAACAAAAATGGGGACAGCGGGTCCCCCTGCCTCACACCCCCGCTCCATTCTGAATTACTTTGTTGCTGCACTGTTAATAATAACCGAGACCCTTGCTGAAGCTAAGCATCCACGAATCCAGGCTCGCCATTTATCCCCAAAATCCATTTGTTGCATGATTGAATCTAGGAAATCCCAGCTAATACAATCAAAAGCTTTTTCAAAGTCAACTTTGAATATGAACGCTTTCTTTTTGTTCTTCTTTAACCAGTTAATGACTTCATTGAGGATTAGAGGCCCATTTAGGATGTTCCTATCTTTAATGAAAGTTGTTTGTTCTTTGCTGACCACATGATGAATCACTCTTTTCAACCGCTCAGCTAGGACCTTTGAAGTCGTTTTATATAGACATCCAATTAGGCCGATAGGGCGGAAGTCGTTTAACGTGATCGGGTCTTGTACCTTTGGGGCTAACGTGATAAAAGATGAGTTACATCCTTCATCAATGAGCCCTGTGGCTTCAAAATGCTTAACTGCTAGATAGAAATCACTACCAATTTCCTCCCGGTGCTTCTTTAGAAAGGCGAAAGAGAATCCATCAGGCCCGGGAGCCCTATCCGAGCCACACGCTCAGATTTTACCCCATTTTAACTTTTTGGAAAATATAAAATCTAAAAGTTGGTTCAAAAAGATAAAACAAACACTCCCTAAAACATAATATTACGTTACTTCTAAATTCTATAGAAATAACAAATAATATATGTTTGTGTTAATAGTTAATTATTTGAAAATTTATACATGAGAGGGGATAAATTATATTGCAAATATAATATCAAATGTAATAAAGTGTTTTAAAAATGAAAATGATCGGAAAACTCTTTGTAACTAAATAGTTTAATATGATGAAATAAGTTATAATAATGTTCTATATAATATAACATGTTTTTAATTATATATTTAAAATTTATTTTATATCGTTTTATATTTGTCAATTAGTTTATCAGCTAGTTTAAAAAAAACGTTATTATTTTATCAGCCAGATTATCATGCAAAAACTAGTTTTTCAGCTTAGAGTTTGAGCAGTTAGTACCGAATCTTGATTGTGTCGGTATTGTACTAGAACCGGTACCGAACCATTCTATTTACAAATAAGTTCATTCAACATTTTCAATAAATTTTCCAAATATACCTTTATATATCATTAATTATTATCTATATAAATATCTGTTTATGTCATTTTATATTCTCCATTTATTTTATCACTTATATTTTTACTAAATGATATTAGTTTATCAATTAGCTTCTCATATCTTACGAGACAAAAGCTAGTTTTTGAGATCAATCTATTTTTCAATCTCCTATTATTTTGCATTTTGCATTTTTTTTGTCTTGTACATTTATTGGCCAAAAATCCAAGCTTTAAACAATTTATCAAGCAATCAAAACAAAATTACCAACAAAGATGGAGAAAACACACAAAGTTTCCATTTTATTATGTCAATAAATAAATTACATACAATCACAACAATCTGTACACATTTTTTTTTACCAATAGTAAGCCCTCAAAAAACAGGTAACAGAGGGGCATTTTCGATATTAAGCAGTGATTGAGGGGTGATTTGAAGAGCTGGACGTATTTCCAAAAGGGCAATAAAGGAATCAAGAGGGATTCTCATACCCCATACATTTATTGACTCCAATTTCCGACATTTATTTACAAGAACTTGAAGCCCATTTTCAGTAACATGACGACATCCCCATAATACAACACTCTGCAATTATGTGAAATATAATCAATATCATTTTTTTTTTTATATACTTGTATAAATAGCAAAGTACTTTCATTTATTTTATTTGTATTTCAAATTCGGGCAGCTGACCTTCAAATTCGGGCAGCTGGTGGAAATTGCAAATAAAGATTCATCTGTTATGAAAGTGCCCCCAATGTTTAGGTGTTGCAATGAATTGGCCCTTGAAATCTGTACATGGTCAACAAGAAAAGGTCAACTTGTTTGTTCTCAAGAAGCCAAAAGCCAAAAACAATCAAGTAATCTAGATTATGATATTGAAGATTAGAGGTCCATTATGTAAAGAAAATGCATGATTCTTGATGATTCTGAATGTTTTTGATAAAACACATACCAGTTGAGCAACACCTTTGTCTGTGATCCCTGTCATTCCCCATAGTGATATGCAGGTAAGATTGGCGATGCATTTTGCTGTTGATAACTGGAATAATCCGTTATCTGTTATTTGGCAACCCCATCGGCTTTTTGAACTGAAAATCATAACAAAAACAATCAGAAATCCAATCCAAAACATCAAATACCTTGTAATTTGCATCTGATGATTGATTTCGATGCGTGTTTCAAAGTTGTTATGCCTAAATTTCTATGAACTTTAACCTAAATTACAAATCATAATCACTTTTTTCCCAAACAATCAAAATTGATCGATGAAATTTCCTCATCAGCGTCAAAAACTTTCTCAAGGAATTTGTAATTGAAATGCTAAACACAGAAAACAGAGAGAGGGGGGGGAAAAGCGTAAAAAAGGTGGAGTGAGTGGAAAGCGTACATGTCAAGCTCCTTGAGACCATAAGCATAACAAACAAGGCGAGAAGTTGATTTATCATCCATTTTCCAACCTGCAAAACTCAATTTCTCTCTGCTTCCCATCGATTGCTTCACGCCTTCCCTCCATTTTCTACACACACTGCTCGTTCTTCATAATTCACATACAAACACAGTCAACACACATGCTAAAAAACGAAAAACGATCGAAATCTCAAAAAATAAAAAAAAAAATCGATTAGAAAACAAAAGGATCATAATTCATGAAACGTACTGCGCCAAATCCTTGAAGCAGGTGATGAAAACGAATATATGAGCAAGTAGGTCCATCGGAAGCTGGTCAATTTGAGCCTCTCCTTCTTCGATCGTCATGTTAGAGAGAGAAAAAAAGCCCCAATTCTAGAGAGAGAGAGAAAGAAGAAGGGTTTAATCGTCGTTTTAAGAGGTTTTCGTGAGGAGGTGTAGAAGAAAGCAATGGCGGAGGAATGTTGTCATCGTTTCACCATCAGATTCTCTCCTCCACACGTGTCACTTTTTTGAATATTCAACATGGAACCCATCTCATGCTTATTTTGATTGTACCTTGTGCAAGTTAAGATGTACATTGAATAAGAAAGTGTCTCCACTTTATGTGACTATTACTTGTACTTTTCCGATTGTGTAATTTGTTATTTTTTTCAATTCTATATTAAAATATAAAATAATACTTGTAAGCTAAATACGTAAACTCTTATGTATATTACAACTTTTCTTGGCATTTGTGACGCTAGGGGACTTTGGAAGATAGGATAGGGTACAAAAATATTTTATTTTTAGCACAAAAAAAAATTGTATGTTTGGACAAAAACATGTTTATATGTTTTTATATGAGATAATAGTTTTTAATATTTCGGCTAATGGCATTTTTGGTCCGGTTAGCATGACATACATATTTTTTTTAACAATGAAAACTTTATTGATATTTTTTTGGCAAAATGCAAGAGAGAAAATACAATTAGAAAGAGGATGCAACAATATGAAAGCTATACCAAGCATGCTAATATAAGCTAAACAATTTTGATCTATGACTAACCAAATAAAAAAAAAATCGTTGTGATTTTCGATCCTTTTAAACACCAATGTGTTCTTGCTTTCAAGACGAACACAAAATTGATAAGACAATTATATGAAGTTGTTTACCTTTATCTTTGAAGCTACACTAAGCCCATCATCAATGAAGATTTGTTGGATTGAAGAAGAAGAAATGACATTAAGTTCGTTCCAAGACCTTCACTTAGATGTCACAAAAGTATAAACAAGTCACATAAGTATGATTAATACCTTCACTTAGATGTCATCATAGTGAACATAACGTATGCTAGATTTCAATTGATATCTACGAACCAAATTCAGAGTTAACGAGATGCAATTCAAGATTGATTGTCATCCAAAACATATTAAGTATGTTGGATTTTATTCGAGTTAGAATTGATTTTTTTTTTCTTTCATATTTGAGTTGTCTTAGCAATCTTATGTAGAAAACTCCATTGGAGTCGAATGTCCAATCCAATTTGTCTTTGGAATTTGTAATTTGGGTACAAAAAATAAACTGCACCATGGCAACCAAATAAGTTACTTCAACAACACATGTACAAGGTTCAGGACCCTAACATGTCGGAGATCTTGTGTGAAAATAAAAATAAGGCCCCATAATTTTTTTTATAAAGTATTATTAAGTAATTTTGTTATCACTAAATTCAAAACTCAAAGATACTATCAAACATCTTGTAAATGCATGACCATAACATCATGTATCCATTCAATAGATGTTCTAGTTTCTAGGATCATACATGTTCATTGGAGTATCTTCTTTGTCATCATCATTACCATTCAAGGTGGATATGTCTTCATCTACAAAAGGCATATCTTCTAGAACTTGCAGTTCAAATTCTTCTTCTTTAAATTCTTCCAGAACATCATGAACTTCATCCATGTTTTCTAGCACATGTAATTCAACGTCTTCTTCTCTGTGTTCTTACACAACTAACTCCTCATGATGATGATGTTTCGACATTTGTTTAACGATGAATCGATAGATAGATCCTCTTTAACTATGAACAAATTGTTATTCTTTTTGTTTTCTTTTTATGTTTAGAACAATCCGACTCAAATTTTCTAGTTAGAGGCAACTTGTTTTAACGAAAAAAACCCAATGTTAATAACTTAACAATATATATTTCTAATATTTATTGAAAGTTAATGTTTAAAATAGTTAGAACAACAAACAAAATTCTTGTTTCCTAACATTTCTAAACATCGGACTATATTATATTAATATTAAAAGTCAAAAAATAGGAATCCCTTTTCCGCCCTCTCCCACCCCCACCCTAAAATTTGCTAATGCTCTATTCTAACTCCTCTATACCAAATATTGAAAAGCTAAAACTATAAAGCTAGATGATAGAGTGATAAACATAATTCACAAGACACTATGATATATATAAGAAAAAACAAGAACATTGTTTTATTACTTCCTCTACTATATTATTCTGTAACTTCATTATAAATTCATAAATAAATCATTCAAAAAATAAGCATTTAGCCTGGGAGAGAAAGAAGCTAAGCATCTGTGGAATTTAGGAAATTTAAAAAGAGACGAGCAACACTGACAATCTATTTTTACTGTTATTAGGTTTGTTAGGGTTTGATATTTTTGTGAGTTTTATAAAACCTATAACATTTGATTGAACTTATACTAGAAACATATATGTATTTTTTATATACATAATTTCCTTAAATTTTTTATAATATAGAATTTATGATAAGATTTTTTTTTCATAATTAAAATTACTTTAAGATTGCAACCAAATGTTACATTGTACATATAGTTAGCTGCTAATTTCTTTAATAAAAACACATAAAATGTATTTTATAAATCATTACTATATATTTTCCCTAAATTCGGATGCCCCTTAAAATCGGAGGCCCTTTGCGACCACACCACTCGCACACCCTCTGGGTTGCCACTAAGAAGACCTTCGCTGACTCTAAGTCCATTTGAATTATGCATAGAAGCTCCTCAGTGCAAAAGTAAGAATTTTTGTATTGATTTTTAACACGAAAGCCTTGGGAGTTTTAGCTTTACTAGCACAATCTCAACCAAATGTCATGCCAAAAAAGTGGTTTCTTCCCATCTCCAATCTTTCTTGCGGAACATTTTCCCAAAGAAGTATTGGTGTGCTTATTTTTATCAAGATCCAACATGATTTTTACGATCCCTTTCCAAGTGTTGCGATTGCTTTCTAATGTTTCTCATGTTTGCAAAATATGCATTCATCAAAAGCAACTTTAGGGAGTGATGTGACCCGGACGAATTTGTAGGATGGGATCATTGTGAATAACAAAAATAGTGGGAGTAGTTGATGCTTCAAACCATTTATCTACCTAAGGTTTGAGACAAGTCTCATTTACAGTCATTTTGTGAACAACTAGATCAATTGTAGAAACAAGGTTATAAGATTTAATAGTCCCATGTAAGCCTTTAAAGTTAGACCTTAATGCCATCAAAAACTAAATCAAACATTGATCCTTCCTCCTAGTAATGTATGTTTTAAATGCTTCAAACTCAGAAAATTCAGTAAGAGTCAATTGATATCATAAATAGAACATCACAACATAGAAATCTTCAACATTTGAAGCATTATGTTTAGAGCTCAACTATTTGTTTTCAGATTATACTAATGATACTATAAAGCAAATTAGATTGGGTGTATGATCTATTCAAACGATTCCAAACTTCTTTAGCTTTATACTTGGCCAGTTGGGTACCATTGGATTGCACTACATTGTTGTTGATCCAATTGTAATCTTAGAATTATCATTTCACATATATCACACAACATTGCATGGTTTCTAACTTTCTCATCTTTAGGTTTACCTTATGTACCATCAACATAACCTTATCTATGTTTTACATTTGAAAAATTCTTCATCACATAACTATAATAGACATAACTTTTACCATCAATTCGAGTAGTAATAGACTAAAAAAAATCATATTATTGACCCATATTGACAATAATCAAAACAAACAATCCAATAGCAATAGCAAATATGAGCGATAATCAAATACCAACAAAAACGGAAAACATACCCATAAGAACAAGCAAGAAGCAAACAGAACGCTAAATTTGTGCTTGCTACAAAGTCTTCTACAATTATAAAATCAAAGAATATAGATTGTATTCATGAAGATTGAGAAATACATCTAGAATTATTATTAACTTAAAAAGTTTAATTAAAATGAAACGAAAACAAGACAATCAATATGGCAAAAAAAAGTTCAATACAAAAAGAGGCCGTAGCCCAATTTTAATATGATAAAACCGATTATATGCATTATTGGAGGTGTGATTTGTGTTATGTTTTAGAGTGCCGACATTTAAAAAAAATTAAATCTACAAGATACAAGAAAACGTAATTGATGAAAGGTGCACTAAAAAATCACTTGAGCATTCGCAAATATGGACTAGTGTTTGTGAAACTAGATTGATTAAGACTCAAAGATCAATTGTGTGTAGATATAAAGTGATCTCGAACTTGTGTGAGTTGTTAATTGTCAAAAAAGAAGACGATAAAATGTGTTTTTCAGAAAATAATTCTAACATTAAATCCTGCACATCCGGTTTCATGCCACTATAAATTGAAGAGCATTTGATGCCTTTTGAGTCTTGACATCATTTAACAATAATAAAACATGGTGTCTAACACTTTTCCATGACGTTCAAAATTTATATTTTGGCATTATTAACACAATTTTTGAATTTGTTTATGAATCATATGGAGCTTGCTTGGTGCCTCTTTGTAAGTGATGTTAATTAATTGTTGAAAGCTTTTTACTACACCAATTATTGACATTGGTTGTGAGCTTGAGTGAATAAGTTGTGTCAAAGTAAAATTGTTTTCTCTTATTCTTTCGCATCATAAGTTGTGTCACTATCATCATGTGTTCGAGATTAAAAATTAACGAGGGGAGGAGAGGAGGGGAGGAGAAAGAAAGGGAAGCGGATGGAAGGAGAATGGGGAGGTGATAAATGCGTTCTTGGATTTAAGGGGAGCGAAAGAAACTTCGTTGTCAAATCAGTGGCAGATCCAGGATTAAAGTAAAGGAGTATCTCGACAAAAAAACCGCTTAATACACAATAAGAAAAAAAATCCAGAAAAAATTATTCTACTGAATTTTTTTTAGGGATATCCCGGGCTACACCAGGATATATACTAAATCTGCCAATGTATCAAATGACTTTCATCCTTGGCTAGGGTTCATTAGACTAAGTAGATGAATGAGAGAAGACAATGGTGGTAAAGACAGGGAAAAAATGAAGATGATTTGTGGGTGTGTATGTGTGTGTGTGAGAGAGAGAGAGAGATGAAGAACATGATATGTGAGAATGAAAAAGAATAAGATACACTGAGAATGTAGAAGTTGTGAGAATGAAGATGAAGAATCACTGATGTGAGGTTGTAGGAGAATGAAGATGAAGCAAGGGTAAAATATTTTGTTGCTTTACATCACAATCCATCCAAAATTAGATACAAATCACATTAATTTCTTCATTTCCTTTCCATCATAATCTCTTCTTTTTCTTCACTCCACCTATTCACAAAAAAAAACAAAAAAAAACAAAAAACAAAAAACAAAAACAAAAAACAAAAAACAAAAAACAAAAAACAAAAAAAAAAAAAAAAAAAAAAAAAAAAAAAAAAAAAAAAACAAAACAAAACAAAACAAAACAAAAAAAAAAACAAATAATAATAATAATAATAATAATAATAATAATAACTAGATCCCCCCCCCCCCCCCCCCGGCCCCGCACGATGGGTTTTGGAAGGTGTTGCTTTTGTGTGCAATTATAGTGCATCGCCTTAATTGGTAGCCACAATAAAATATGTTGCTATTCTCTGCAATTCGTCCATTTGCAAACACGGTAAAAAATGAATATACATTGGCATTTTGTATTTTGATGATCCAAATTACAGAAAACTGAACATTAAAATGAAAGTACATTCCCCAATTTTGGTTTATATATGCCAAATTCCACGACCTAATGAAATTGCTGAAACAGTTGTGGTGTAAATTCCGCTTCTTCTTTTAGTTGATAAGTGTTATCCCGTGCAGGTGGAAGTCCTTCATCTTTATAATCTTTTTGTTCCATGTTTAAGTCTATGGTGTGACACATTAGTTCTTCCAAACCACAAAACATCTGAAACTTACCATGACAGATTATGGCATGATAACATGATGAAATTGGACCATGCTTGTTTAAATTATAAATTACTTAAAACATCATAGTTTTGATTTATAATATGATCTAAAAACGATATAAGGGAGGAAAAATTGACATAATGAACTTAAGACTGTGAAGAGTTCTTTCTAATTTATAAAAATTGACTACAGTAAATTTGTATTCAAAATGACATTAAAAGACATTCACAACATATTTAGTTCTTTAAGATTTTCAAGATCCTTGGTTATGTGACCAAAGAATTGATTGTGGGCAAGTGACATGTTCAGGAAAAAAAATAAAAAAGTTGTCAATATGAAAGTATTAAACGGAAAAAACGACAATTTTAAGATATATATATATATATATATATATATATATATATATATATATATATATATATATATATATATATATATATATATATATATATATATATATATATATAGGAATACTATATTTGATGGGATAAATCTGAACAGGGATGCCACATGCAACAAAAAAAATGTTCTAGGAGTAACATTTCAGATTAAGATTACTTTATCCAAATAAACAAAATAAAAATTATATACGGGTGAAATAGTTATTTTAATTTATATGAAAATAACCTTCTTATAAGAAGCATTAACTAAAAAATATGATAAAATCAAAATATTGGTGTTTAGTTTATTGTTAAAATGGTTTGTTGTTTTTTTAAGGGTAAAATGGT